TTTTTAAGGACTGCCACCAAAAGCACGGACACAGTGGACCGAGACAAACAAAGCATCAGAGAACAACTCCAAACAGTAGGCTACTCAAAAAAGCACCAAGGAAAAATGGATTTTTGTGAGGGCAAAGCAAGCAGTAGGGGCAGGAGAACAAATGCAGTGACTTCTGAATAGGGCCATTTAGCTGATTTATAAATGACCTCACCAGAGTCCTTTGCTGTGGGAGATTGATGTGTTCCTCCTTCCAAAGCTGGGGTCCATGGACTTGTTTTCGGGGGAACCAAGGAATCGACTCCAAGGGTGCAAAGCCCTTATTTTCAAACCTTAATTAACTGGAACCTAATTAGGACTTTGGAGGGTTTTTTTTCCACTTAAAAGGAAAATTTTTTTCTCAAGTCAGCTTGGTGTAAATGGAGGCAAAGTGAACACAGGGCAATTTGGATTTCTTGCATATGAGCAACTCTTTTAACCTTTAGTTTTCTGATAAATTGAGAAGGCCAATGAGAGACAGATACCCAAAGTCATTTTCAGCAATAAAACTCTGATTCTGAGACATGCCAACAGATCTTTATTTATCAATAATCTGAGATAATTCTTCTATTTTGACAACTATACCCCATCCTCATATGAACTGGGATCACCTGACAGTCTTTTATAGTTTTTAGAGTATATCACATATTTAATTCAACTGAACTTTGCAACAAACTGTTGGGGTGAGGTCTCTAAAATGTAAGGACAGAATCTCTCTCCTGTGATGTGCTTCAGCAGCCATTGGTTGGTTATTCTAAAAGTTAGAAAAAGAAGGGAATCACACAGAAGAGAAACCCATCGCTAAATGTTCTAATTTATATAGATGTATCTTCATTTGCTAATTTTTTCTTTTTTTTAGTGTAAGGCTTTCAAAAAGGGAGAGTGCCAACTGGATTTCTACACAGTCTTTTCTGAATAAACTACACTCGCAATTCACTGTCTATACTTTATCATTTGGTTTCTTCAAAAAAGAATGAGAATTTAGACATTTACAAAGCAATGTGAATACAGAATGCTTACTGGATTCCATAATTACCCCATTTTACAACTGAATTTTTAAAGACTTATCCTTATCCAGGTCTTTCCAAAACATTTAACTTAGTTTTTTTATGAAAACAACAGCTTCTTTTCTATGTTCATATTTGATCAGTTTACCTGACACATAGTTAAACTGCATAATTACAACACGTACAACTGGCCTCGCCAGGTTTGAGAACACACATAGCATTCCCCTGGGGGTGGGGGGCGAGGGAGAAGGCAGTACTAGACAGCCAGTGCCACCTGCTGTGGTCACTGATCACTGAATTGACAGAGGGAAAGACGGGCATGGCTGAGATGATTGCAGGGCTGGACTACAGCTGAGGGAGGGAGGTCAGGGACAGAGAGACAGATTTTGGCTCATTAGCACCCAATTAGTAGTTAGAATCACAAGAGTAGAGGAGGTCACTCAGGGTGGGAGTGTGGATAGAGAAAGGACAAAGGTGGGGTAGATCCAGGGGATGCCAACCCTAAAGTGGTGGGCAGAAGAGGCTTCTGCAAAGGGGGCCAGCAGGACATTGGAGATGTACAAAGAGAAACAGAGAACGAGGAGGTGGGTTTCAAAGGGCCTGGTGCAGGTCAGAAGTCTAAGAAGCAAGAACTATAAGGTATCCTTGGATTTGACAATAAGGCAGCCACCAGTAAGTGAAAATGCGAGTACGTTCACACTCCCATGAATGATTTCTTGAAGGAAGGAAAGTAGGTATTCTGTAATCCCCTATGCCTTTCGTTTCTCTTCCACCACGTCTGCTGTCTTCTTCAGTGTCCGCTCTGCCTCCTGTCTCCCTGCCAGCATTCTCATGCAGATAGGCCTGCTCAGGCTGCCTAAGCTTAGGCCAGGGAAGGAGCAGGAAAACTCCAGAGGTTACCCTGACTGCCACACAGAGACAGGACAGGTCATCCACTGGTCCCAAGAGCAGCCACTTCTACCTAAGCCCAGAGCAGCACCTATTTGCAATGCCTGCTAAGAAGCATTTGTGCAAGTCTGTTGCAAAAGGCAGGATAAAATCAAAACTGCAATCAGAAGGCTTTACAGCCAGGCCTTTCAGATTTCTCCCGGCTGACAGGCTCAGGGAAAAAAGTCTGCATGAGGCAGTCTGGTGAACAGTTCCACTCTCCTACCCACCTCATTTTTCAGACACATGGCAACTTCCTAGAGCACACAACAAGCAGGGAAGGAGAGTGTGGGTAAGAAATATAAATGAAAGAGGAAAAAAAGTCGATAATACAAAACATAGTCTCTGCTCTGTAAGGTACTGGCAAGCAATAAAAAAGAAATCTTGGGTCCTAACAGTCACAGACTCTCAGACATGGAAATTCAACCAGGTTTCAGTGACAGCTGCCTAAGTCCCAGAGGGCTGCCAGCATGGCTATGATAGTTCAGACTTATCAATGTCAATCCAGGCCAATGTGTTTTTCACTAGCCAGTGTTCTATAGCAGGAGTCCCCAACAGCCCCTCCATGGCCCGTTAGGAACAGGGCCGCACAACAGGAGGTGAGCAGCGGGTGAGCATGACCACTTGAGCTCCGCCAGTGGTGGGTGAGCATGACCACCTGAGCTCCACCTCCTGTCAGATCAGTAGTGGCATTAGATTCTCACAGTAACTCAAACTTGATTGTGAACTGCTCATGCAAGGGATCTAGGTTGCATGCTCCTTATGAAAATCTAACTAATGCCTGATGATCTGAGGTGGAAGTTTCATTTCAAAACCATCCCCCACCCCCAGTCTGTGGAAAAATTGTCTTCCATGAAACCAGTCCCTGGTATCCAAAACAATGGGGACTGCTGTTCTATTGTAAACAAATAAAAGATGAGGAATAAGAATAACTACTATTTTTTCCCAAGCCTTCAGATCAGACACTGGTCAGCTGCCTCCTAAATTTCCATGTCTCCTATTCTTGCCTCCACTAAAGAACAGATTTGAATAGAAACCTGAGGTGAGGATCACAGACTGGACATAGCCTTACCAGGGAAGACCAGCTGGGGGTTTTGGACAGAGCCACCCACATAGACCCACTGTATATGGAGAGTGAATGGGAGTTAATTCCGGCTGGCCTCAGAGAACACGATTTTGATGTGGTAATTGGGGCAAGGGGAAGGAAGGAGGAATTTAAGCCTGCCATGCTGCCTTCAACCACGCTGGGTTCAGGACAAGTCAAATCCGTTGGCTGCCCTGAAAAAAAACATGTACTGACCTGATCCAAACGAAGTGCGCCATCTGCAAAGCGTTGCTGGCGTAATCGCTTGGCAATTCCGTGGAGATTCAAGACGGCCTGGTGTACCTCCTCGCTGCTATGCTCTGGGGAAATGGGAGGCAGCTCTGTCGCAGGGATTTTCTCAGTGGGGCTTTCAATCATGCTCTGCGCATGCTCGTAGCTAAGTTTGGTGCAGGAGCGGATGATGGTCCGGCCAAACCATTCATCAAGGATCTGCAAAGATGGGACAGTCTGTGAGGGAATTGTGAGGAGAATTTTTTTCAGGATTTTCTTCCTTCAACCACTCATCCATAGACATTCAACAAAGATTTATTGAGCACTGCTCAGAATGGTGGCAGGTTCAGGCTAGGCACCCAGATGAATCAGAGATAGAAGCTGCTACCCTCAGGGAGCTTAGTCTCCACCTGGTGTGGAATTAATCTAACAGGCACTGGACACCTATGGATGATCCCCAAGCACACTGGTGGCACAGGCAAGGCACATTGGAGGTTTTTCCATTAGTTTTGGTGAATGGGCATCAATCTCAACACTCAGGGGAGTGGAGGAGAGAGCTGTCAACAACATGGCAGACAGGTACTCTGCGGGTTTGGGAACAGCTCAGATGCAGGGTAAAGGAGAAGGGGAAGGCAGGGCCACTGACAGAAAGAGGGAACACAGGTGGAAAAGCAGGATAGGGCTAGAAAGAGAAAACCCATTTCCACGGTTTCATTTGGCGCACATATGTAGAGACAGAAGTCTAGAACAGGCTTCTCAATCTCGGCACTGCTGGGCTAAACAATTTCTTGTTGGGCGGGGGCTGAAGTGTGCTTTATAAAACGTTCAGCAGTATCCCTGGCCTCTATCCACTGGATGTCAGGGGCACCTCTCCCCTACACCCTCAAGCTGATAATAAAAAATGGCTCCAGGCATTGCCAAATGTCTTCTGGGGGAAAGCTGGCACAGGATGAGACACACTGGGCTTGAAGGAGATATACCCAAGTTTAGTGGTGGTGCCAGCTGAATGGTGGGATTACCACTGAGGTGCGTTTTATTATTTTCACTTTTCTGTATTTTGTATAATAAATATGTATTACTTATAAAACAAAAAATGAACATTAAAACATTTTTGGGACTCTTGGGTCTGAGGTGCAGGGAGAGACGCAGGCGAGGTGATCTGGTAGGTATCTGGGTGTGGGTCTGGTCCATCTGGACGAAGAGGGGTCTACAGAGAAAAGGGTGGTCAGGAGAGGCAGGGCTGCTTGGCCTAGCACACCTCCTTCATGTCAAGGAGCAAAAAGAGAAGCCAGGGAATGAAAACAGGAGAAAAATAAGAGAGTTGGGAGAGACAGGACAAAAACCAGGGGTGTCCAATGTTAAGCAGGAGAAAAGAGCTTTAAGAAAGGGGACTCGGAGGCAACAAGGGACACTCTGGAGCACTTACTATGAGACAGGCATTGTTCACACTCTCCATATGGCAACTATTTAATTCTCATAACAACTCTATGAGGTAGGAATTTTGCTATCCTCTTCTTCAGATGAGGAAACCAAGGCACAGAGAAATTAAGGAATTTGCCCAAGGCTACACTGCTAGGGACTGGCAAAGCTGGGAACTGAACCCAAGCAGTCCAGCCCTAGAGCCTGAGCTCTACACCACAAGTATATGTCTAATACCACTTGGATATCAGAGAGGAGAAAAAAAAGACAAACTCCTAGCATTGAGCATTTGCTGGCTGTTTTAGGAAAATGCAGGAGAGAGGCAGAGTCACACTGCAAAGGGTAAAAGCATGTACTGCAAATGGGTCTGGAGCTGCTGTAAGGAGGGCTCCAGCCTTCGCACTCCCAGGGCAGCCAGAGCTTTGACCTCCTGTCAGCTCATGCACATGCCCCCTGTGCCACTCAAACAGCAACATCTGCTGTGTGTGACATGATGTGAAAAAGCCTGGGAAGCACCAGGCTAAGGATAGGTGAAGACTGGAAGTGGACGCAATGCAACCAGCGTGGATGACCACTTCCAAAAGGACGGGAGCACTTTGGAATGAGCAGAATGGAGGGCTGTGTGGCGTTTGCAGGAGAGAAAACATCACTGAAGAAAGATTGAAGACACAAGAAAACAAAAGGGATTCTAGGCCAAGTGGAGGCCATCCATCCAGGACAGAGGAGGGGCGCCCTGGTAGGGAGGAAGGAAGGAAGGAAAGGGGAGGAGACCTTGAGGGGAAGGAGAGGGAAACTGAGAGCATGACCATCACAGAGCCCCAATCTATGTAGACAAGCACGAGGCAAAGAACAAGGGAGGCTAGGTGGAGTTCGAGGGCCTGAGGAAAATGGAAAAGCTCAGAGATAAACGCTGTGGAAGTGTATTTCTTGTGCAAGAAAAGGGAGGGAGTGCCAGTCAGGAGTAGAACCTTTTAGCCTGGGCTTGCAGACATCCCCCTTGCCTTGCTCTTCACCAGACAACCGTTCTGTTCACAACCGCTGACACAATGCTTTCCGAAAAAGCCAACTGAAGGGTCTGTAGGCACTCCCCATGGGGAAGGACTGAGCCCAACCCAGCAGCTGTTCACACCACAAAGCCTCCAGGAAATACAGCTTCTACCCTGGAAGGCTGGAGAGACCACTTTGGTACCATCCACTCTCCCTTAAAGGAAGAAACAATACTCTTGAAAAATGGCAGCCATGGGGTAGAGGAAGAGAATGGTGGCAACTACTCACATTTTTATCTAGAGTGGAGTCTTATGAAGGATCTTGAATCGGTAATCACTGACTTTAACTTTTCTTAAAAAAAAATCCTGAAACTATTCTTTCCAGATTATGCCAAGAACTACCACTATCCAAAGACATAAGGGATTCAAATAACCTCGCTAATCTTTCACTATGGCAAGCAGGTCTTGAATTTGGCTCTTAGGAGGCACATGTGTGTGCTGCAGGCAAAGGCAACTGTAGAGCCGATTCCAGGTACCACCTGACAGTCCCGGTGGGGAGTGCCACATTCGGGTCTCCAGAAGAGTCTAAAGAACCCGTTTTAGGCTCAGCCAGCCTTGTCCTCCTCACACATCCACATTTCCTGAAGAGCTGCTCCAGCCTCCTCTGAAATGACAGGGCCACGACCTCTTCATTCTTGTGGTCTCAAGGGTTTCCCCTGGTGATTTAGCTTGCTTCCTTTTCTACATTTCATTCCAAACCCAGTCACTCCTCCTGTGGGTCTACATCAGGCTGCACAGTCTGCCTTCGGCATGCTCAGGGAATGTCAGTTTCAGTTCTATGCCACTGCTCTCTTGCACATTTCACAAGTGGTCTAGAGGTTCCCTCCAGCATCCAGCATCCAGGTCACAGGGTCTGCAGCCTCCCAGCATCTGCGGTCTTTTTCCCTAGTGAATGTTCCAGCACAGGGTAACCAGTATACCCTGATCGGGCATCTGCTTTCACAAAAACCATGGATCAAGAACTGCTTAAAAAATCTAGCGAATGTTGGCCAAGCACAGTGGCTCATAGCTGTAATCCCAGCACTTGGGAAGTCAAGGCAGATGGACTGCTTGAGGTCAGGAGTTTGCAACCAGCCTAGCCAACATGGTGAAACCCTATCTCTACAAAAAATACAAAAATTAGCGGGGTATGGTGGTGTTCACCTGTAATCCCAGCTACTCAGAAAGGTGAGTCACAAAAATAGCTTGAGCCTGGGACGTGTAAGTTGCAGTGAGCCAAGATCACTCCATTGCACTCCAGCTTGGGCGACAGAGTGAGACTCCATCTCAACAAAACAAAACAAAATGAACTTAGTGAAAGATCCAGACCCTCCTCCCTGAAACATTTATACATAAAACTTAGCAGCAAGTTCCACAAGGCTCCCAGACACCCCTGCACCCTGCATGCCCATGTCTCCTGGCTCTAAGCACATCTCTATAGCTCCCCTCACCCCTCTGCCTGCTGAGCCCTGACCAGGAGCCACTTGGAATCCTGAGGTATTCCTAAAACTGATTACCTGAGACCTGCCCAAAGCAGCAGATTGCCACTCTTTACCAAAGCCTGCTCATCGCCCACGCTGGCACTGGCTATCAGTTCGTTTGAGCTCCTTTTTTTTTTCTTAATGAGCACCTCTATTTTGTTTCCTTCTCAGTCAAAATAGATATCCCTGCCTAACCGCACACAGGAACACCACCAAATTTGAGACTGCAGTACTGATGATCACTTTTCCATAGCTGTTTTGCTTCACTTCAGTCCCCTTCCTTAATGCCTGCAACCCTGAAAGTCCATCCCAACCTTCTCTTTAAATACACAAAAGGCTGAAGTAGAAGCCTGAAGAGCCGTCAGGAACTTCCTGCTCGGGGACAGGGACCTCTGGCAGCCGAATCTACTCTGCCTTAACAGAATCCAGTGCTTCTGGGAGTCATACCTGTCATTAAAAAATTATTAGGCCAGGGAAAGCAGGCCTGAAACCATCTTCTGCAGAAGCCAAGCAGAAAAGAAAGGAACCTGTTGCCGCCTGACACAGAGAAAAGCAGCAAGAAAGCAAAGATCCAAATGGAGGGGTTCCTGGGAACAGCCAGCCTCACAGTATGGAAGGCAGGCCTCTCTGGATGGAACACCTCATTACTTTCCAGTTGGAAACTGGATTCACATCAATGCCCAGTGCATAACCAAAGCCAGTGGCAGAAGACAAAAGGACAGAGCTTTTCATGGAAAAAGTAGAAATACCACGGGGAGCTTCAGAAACAAAACCCTTCACAAAGAAAATCATGTCCTTCCTCTTTCCTTTCTTAATCGTAGGATTTGGGTCATTCTTCTATAGGCAGGCAAGTTTACTGTACATATTCTGGAATACTACTGTTCAGAATGTCAGATTAAATACAGTGCCAACACTGAATGAAGGCATATTACTGGGGAAAAAAAACTACTGAAAAAGGAGGACATGATTATCTACGACGACATTGTAATTCAAGGCCTACCTATTGTACCAAGTAAGACTGGAAGCAGTCTAACACTGGGAGTATTCTTATACCTACTATTTCTAAAATCTCCTCAACATATCTGGGAGGAGTACATTGTTCAGCCCATTGCACAGTTGAGAAAACAGGCCAGGAACTTGTCAAAAGTCATACAAACTCCTACCTGGCAGCCAAGACCAGATCCAGTTAAAGACAGACTCAAAATCTAGTGTCACTTTTATTACATTCCGGGTGAAGGTCATAAGTTAGACAGAGGCAGATGATGAAGTAAAATAAACCACTTTCTATATTGAT